AATTCTACGACGCTCTACACAACTTGTACAATCACCCATTCACACGCATTTCCAAGTGCTTTCTAAGTAACATTCACACACATTCATACTCTGATGGATGCATGGAGAGCAATTTGGGGTTAGTATCTTGCCCAAGGATACTTGACATGCAGACTGGAGGAGCCAGGGATCGAACCACCAACAGTCAGTCAGTAGGTGACCTGCTCTGAGCTACAGACACCCATCTCAATTCTAAGAGATGAAGGCGACAACATAATGTACTTTGTATGTGATTTAATTCACAGGAATGGAGCATATTTACATACGAGATGCTCAGTTTAAATCCAGACTGCAGCATCTCTTTGTGGTGTTTTATGTTTTAGCTGCGAGTGTCCTGTCTGAGCTTCTTCAGAGCACATCAGTGACTCTGATCATTCACCTTTGCATGGAAGCTGATATAAGTTTGTGTGTTACTTGTTTCTCGAGTCATTGTTTTCCTTCCCAGCTGTATTCTGTTCTGAGGTTAGTGAAGGTGAATCATTTGTTTCATATATTCATTTTGATTCACGTTGCCTGTATTTGTTACACGTTCAGGGATCTGAGAACGCTTAAGTTCCTCATACAGTTTGTTTTTCAAAGTTTGTGATGTTTATTTACCAGTAAGTGCTGATTGTAACCTCCCTCCGTTTATATCGTTTGTAACGTGTTGTTTCATAAGAAAATGAAATTTTCAACAAATAAAATGCAGATTTTTAAAAATACATTTGATCAGAAAACAATTATACAGTAAATTACGATTGTAATTAATACATCATTTAGACCTCCAGCAACATGTTAAAGCTGCCAGTACGTGATGATCACCTCTCTCATGAGGATCTGGACCCTCTGGATGAACACCGAGGGGCTCGAGATGTCAAATCTCTGATCCAGACCTTCCAGACTCAGCTGCATCACCTTTTCATAGCAGCTGTACATCTTCACTGGATGGAAGGCAAGCATGGAGATCTTCTCCATGTGCTGAGGAAGAGGAAAAGATTACAAACACCGAATGTCACTAAATGTTTCCGAGTTCACTGGAGGCAGAGGGAGGATCTCCTTGACTGAATCCCCCTCTCTAGGAGGACGTCTTCTCACCTGTGCCACCATCTCCTTGGTGCCCTCGTTCAGAACGTTTTTGCTCATGTCCACCAGCTCTCGGAAGAAAACCTCGCGGACCTCGAAGAACCCTCGGCTGGTGGGCTCCAGCAGGGCCTCCAGGATGGAGCTGATGTAGGGCTGGATGCTCACCTTCAGCAGCTTCTCTGCTTTAGGAAGAACCACGGCTGCAAAACAAGAG